TAATGATATGGTTACAGTCAAGAATATCAGGCATTTAAAAATAACTCACATATGGTGCCTATCCTGCTCTCTTCCTTCGAAAGAACTGCCACTGTAGCTCACTATAAAGTAATAAGGAAAGAAGAAAACCTGTATAATTTTAACAACCTTCTGAGTTTACGTAAAGAAAAGGAAAACAGCAACAGAATGGAACTGACTTTTGGGCTTAACTCTACAATAACCTTTCAGTTACCTTGCTGGCCAACTTTCTGCTAAAATAAATATGCAATATTGCCAAAAAGGTTTATAGAGTTCTGAGTTCAAAACCAAATCTTTAAAAACTTTTTTAATCCTCAAGATGAATCACCTTTGTTTGATCTCTAGCACCTAGAATAGTGTATGTTGTTTCCATATTATAAAGGTTTAACCAAAAATTTAAAGGTTGGATACTCCACATTTATAGTGAGATCCCTGTATATATACACAAAGCCAATATAAATCTTGAATTCATTTTAAATTATCCCTAGAGAATAAACGAGACTGATCAAAGGGAAAATAAGTTAAGACTGCTTTTGAAATGATGTGCACTCTACTACATGCTTTACAAATACTAATTCATTTAATATTCTTAATAACTCTATGAGAAAGGCACTGTTACTGGCCTCATTTTACCAACAGGAAATGAAGGCATAAAGGTGTTATTAGGTAACTTGTCCAGGGTCTAACTATTAAGGTAAGGGAGCTAAGACTTGAACCAAAACATTTATTTTAGTGACTGTATGATTAATTACTTCTCATTGTTGCCTCTCGTAAACACCAATCAAAAATCTACACCCAAGTCCATGAATAAATAAATATAAGCCACTTAAAAACCTACAGAAACTGTGATCTTTAAAGTAGAACAGTACCCGCATAATACAAACCTAAAATGGCAATGGCAGTGAAAACACTATGACTATTATCAGTGAGGAAGAAATCTCCAAGAAACTTATTTTTCTATTTCTTCATATAGAATCCCAAGATTATTAAATATATTCAGTTTTATTCAAAAAGGAACAAGAGAATTCTGTTTTGATCTAAGAATTCTGTTTTTATCTGAGTAATTATTAAAGGTCATTCTCTTTAAGCCCCCAAATTATCAAATCTAAAAGCATCTGCATACTGGTCAGGATATAGAATCCTGTAAGAAAATTGGCTGCCTCCAGGTCCAGAACTGCATATACATATGCTGCTTTTTGCAAAGGAAAGGGTGGCAGGGATAAGAGTTCCTTGATCTAAATCTAAAACATTCCCTTAATCTCAAACTAATCCAGAGCACAACCCTAACTTTCTTTAATTCTATGAAGACCTAGCGACTTGAGGAAGCTGCAAAGGAATTAAAGTGTAAACCTAGCAGAGGTTGGTTCATGAAGTTTAAGGAGCCATTTTATAAAATAAAAATGTAAGGTGAAGTGGCAGTTATTGATATAGAAGCTTTAGCAAGTTATCCTGGTAAAGAAGATATGAACATTGTTGAAAAGACAGCAACAGATTTAGGTTATCAGTGGCAGGGTTTGAGAGGACTGACTAATTGTTAAAAAAAAGTTCTTCTGTGACTAAAATGCAACCGACATTGTATTCTATGAAGATTTTTAAAAAATAATATAATAGTTTATTTTTACATCACTTTGTGCCTTTTTCCATCTCAGTTGCAATCCCCTTGGACTTCCAATCACCAAATCACCCACGTGCCATCACCATAGTCCAGTGCACTTCCCTCCCCCCACCCTTTTTGATCCCATTCCCCACTCCACCCCCACTAGGAGATACTTTTTAATGGAAGGAAGAGTCACCTGATTCACCCCAGACTTAAGCACCCTGACTAAATAAAACAGTTGCCATCAACATGAAGGCAAGAACTCACCAGCAAAAAGATTAAAGCTCAAAGGTTAACATTCTTTCAGCAAGAAATTTTTTTTAAATTAAGGTATACACATTAGTTTTTTAGAATGCTATTAAGCACTTAAAAGACTACAGTATACTATAAACTTTAATAAGCACTGGGAAGCCAAAAAATTGGTGTGACTTGCTTTATTGCAATATTTGCTTTATAGTGTGCGTCTGGAACAAAACTTGCAGTATCTTTGAGGTGTGCCTATATGCACATAAACACTGATGGAGGAAGGAATGCACATGGAGGCATCACAAGATTGATTCACACAAAGGTGATGGGTGGAAGGGGCTGGTGCAACAATTGACACAGCCAAAAAAATCAGGGTCCTCAGGAGCCAAAACACGAGGTCCATGTCCGGAATGCCCGGGATGCCTGGATGTCTGCAGGAGATTCTAGCAAGTAACAGACTGTTGGGGGCTGTGCCTGAAGCTCAGACCCAAAAGGTAAAAGATAAAGACATGGAGATGAAGCTCATCAGGAATCTCTGGTCCTCTCATTTTCTACCTAGGCTTACAAGGAGTGAGCCCCTTCCAGAGAGAAGCTGTCTATATCAGGGCAGTCTCTCCACCAGCATGGGGCAGCAGGTCCTCTGCCCACCTGTGATTATGCAGGTGCTTCTTTCCACCCAATCTCTCCCTCTGCGGGCAGCAGCCTCCTGCCTGCCCGTGACCTGTAGCATGCAGACCTCCCTCAGCGGAGGCGGCTCTCCTAAGGCCTCCGCCTGCAATCATGCAGGTCTCTCTCTATGCAAACCTGTCCCTTCTGGGCAGCTTTTCCTGCCTGTTTGTGGCTATGCAAGTGTCTTTTCCTCTCCAGTCTCTTCTAATGAACTTATTCTTTAAATATAACTGAATCTCTGTCTTGTGGAGAATCTTGCTGGTGCTCCTGAAAGGGGAGCTCTGGTGAAACCTTTCCCAGAGTGAACCCAAGGATCCCGAACTCCAAAAAAGAGACATCAAACACTAAATACTTTTTTGACAACTAATGGAATTTTCATAATTATGGATTCTTATATTATGTAGGGCTTTCTATGTTCTGATATCCCATGTTTGTAGGGGTTTTCATTAGAATTCTAAGGGGCTATAACCTAAAAGAGGTTACGAACCATAGCATTAAATAAAATGCACTCTCAATGGGAAGGTAAAAATCACCATTCCATGAAGCTGTACTTGAGTTTTAGGTCTTAAATTGCAGATGTTTAAATCATAAAATACTGAAGTTTGAAAAAAAAATACTGAAGTTTGAAAATCATTATGAAGTTGTTTAAAAACCTCAAGGCAATCAGTAAACAAATGCATAATATATTGGTAAGCAGCACAGTTTCTTTCAGGAACACATCTATAAGCATTTTGCAGTGACTTAGAACAGAAAAACCTGACTTGGGGCTTTAGCTCTTTCCTACAGTAGCTGAAAGTGCTCTGGGTGGGGGGACCAGGGAATTTCCCAGCCGGATGACCTGGATAGTTTCTTGGGATACATAGCCATTTAGATACCACATTAAGTTTTGCACAAGACCAAATCATAGATTTTGGAAGACATAGATGCTAAGTTAGGATCAGACTCAAAAGTATCAAAAAGGAGGGACTGATTATGATATTAACTGTAAGTGTCAGCTCCAGTGTCCCTACAAAAGAAAACTATATTAATTCTGGTTCTTTAAGATGGGTTTTGTTTAAGTAACCCAAATGTCAACTTTGGGATTCCAAGTAAATGACATCTGGTCATATGGTACTTTATATAATACTTCAGGTAAATTGTTGATAATATATTTTTAAAATAAATAAAAACCAAAAAGCATAGCAAGAAGCAGTATTATGTGGGTAACATTAAGACTTTAATCTTTTGAATATTAGAGTTTATTCATTTATTACACAAAAATGAATAACGATGTAAGGGGAAAAATACCAGAAATAAATATTACAATTTGTTCAAAATAGGAAAATTAAAATGTGTGCCTTGCTAAAGAAAAAATTCAGTGATACTATTAAAACATGGTAAAGATGAGGCCCTCCCTGGTGGCGCAGTGGGTTAAAGCACAGCACTGAGAATCTAAAGCTGCCTCCGCATGGGTTCCATTCCCGACTGCCCCGGCACGGCAGACCTCTCCTGACCCGCTCGCTGCTCCCCTCAGCAGTGTACTTCGTGGATCTGCCTGTTTTATTCCCCACTCTGTCTCTGGTGAAGCCTCTCACCACCCCTGAGCCTCTGGCCTGTACCCCAGTTCTATATGCACAAATAAATCTTTAAAAAAAACAAAAACAAAAACATGGTAAAGATGAGTTTATTCATGGAGAGTAAGCTATTGATAGTTTATAGGGACCACTGTAAGGGGGAGAGCAAGAGATTGGACTCTACTTGTACTTTGCCTGGGAAAGTGGGAAGTTATAGGCCAAGAATGGGGGGCAGGGGGTGTCCATGATGGAAGATTAATCAGGGTCAAAGGGAATTTTAGTTTACCAACATAACAGAATTCTTGCTGAAGAGAGGCCAGGCAAATAAGACATCACCTGAAGGATAACTGATCAAATACGGAGAATTCGTTTCTGTTAAACTGGCTTAGCAGAGTTCTTATTGAAACTAGGTTTTACAGGAAAGTACATCGATAGGCTTGGGAGAAGGTTTAGGAGACTAAAGTCTCCTCTTTGGCTAAACAATGAATTTTTGCCACAATAGCTCCAATAAAGGTCAGCCATCCAGGGTATAGTATTATAGTCATGCTTAATCCTGGGCTACCATAAGTTTTGGTAGGAATAGCTGACACAAAAGAAAAAAAGCTGAACCCTCATTAGCAAATTAAATCCATATAGTTTTACTTGGTTCAGTAAATAGAATGTACACTGTTTTCTGATGACATCTTCAGGATGTTGGAGAACTGGATTTCGAGAATAATGATATATAATTTTGTATGTGTAAACTGTGTAGCTGAATGTTCTTGGAAGACAAGTTCCTGAATAGATAGTGTTCATCTCTTTTCATTATCTTTGTCCAATCAGGCTATCACCAGAGAGATTTCAGTAATCAAAGGTTCTAGTTCATTGTGGTTTAATTATAAAATCTTATAAACCTAAAAGAATTCCCAATTACCTACCTAAGCGATGAAATCCAAAGGTGAATCTTTTGGTTGGTGATTTTGAAGACAGCCACAAAGCAAGCAGGGTCAGTATGATGGCACTTAGATCAGTTAACATATGAAGTGCATCTGTCATAATTGCTAGGCTATTTGCAATGTATCCACCTTAGAGTAAGGGTGAGAGGGAAGAATTAAAATAATAAACATTAGCAATCAACACAAAAATATGTAACATCCCACAAAATATTTATGCTCACTGCATTTTATTTCATACTTCAGAGTATCCTGAAATTATATACAAACCATTTTTAAAGTGTGTATTTGTTTTTTGTTTTGCAGATCCATCCCTATGAACAGATTTTTTTTAGCAGTCAATCACCTTAAAAAACATTAAGAACCACTAAATTGGGGGCTAAAAATAAATTCTGTTTCAACACTTTAGCTTTTATTCAACCTATTAATCCTATCAATAGACAGTGAAATATACAGAAATATACTAGAGTGTGGGTTGACTCAATCTGGAAATGTATACCTTTCCATTATGGGGAAATTTCTTAAAAGTATTTTGTCAATGATTTCCTTCCTTCTGATTTTCTGTTTCTAAAATTTCTATTATTTGGTATTGGAATGAACACTATTTTCTTGGCTTTTCTCTAATACTAATTTCTATGTTTTTGCTCCCCTTTGTGATAGATTACTTTAACTCATCTTCTAACTTTTCTGCTGAAATTTTTTTTTCTTATGCTTTTACCAGTCAAAAGATCTTTTCTTTTACCTGAATTCCTTTTTTAAAGCAGCCTATTCTTAGCTCATGGATACATGTCCTACTCTTATCACTGGAATACTAATTATATAGAAGTACCTGGTGCAACCAATTTGGGGCCTATTTAGGATTCTCTAGTGAAATAGCTCTCAACTGAGTCCCAGATCAGAAGTATGCACATCTCCTGGGAACTTGCTAGAAATGAAAAATCTCGGGCCCTACCCCAGACCCACTTAATTAGAGACCCTGATGCAGCAACTTATATTTTAAGTTTTCCAGGTGATATTGATGTACTAATATAAACTTGGGTTGGTTTTCCCCAGTGCTTGCTTAAGATTTATTGGGCTTACTAAATCAGTTATTTCTTTACCTGTTTTCCTTCTAATTTTTCAAATTTGTGTTCTTGTTGAAACCTCTCAGGTTTCCCCCATCTGTGTGAAAGTGTATGTATACATACACACATACATACATATTCACACAGATGGATTTGTACATATGTACAAACATATGTGTATTGCACATATATGTACACACGTGTAGAAACAAATATATGTATATACTTATGTAATTATATATACATGTATTTGTAGATACTTTTTAAAGAGTATCAGTTACCTACCTAATCAGTTTAAGAAAGGCTTTAGGAAAGAGTAATATTAGATGCATGAATTCATTTGTTGTCTTGACACCTTTTTTGCATTCACTCAAGTATTTTCATTCATAACAAAAATGGAGTTGTTCATGACTCCCTTACAAAATTCAAAGGATAGTTTAGTTCTCATCTTACTATCAGTTTACACTTTTTAGCAGTTTCAACTTACTTATTTCACCTCAAAATAGTCTCTTTTTTGGATTCTGAGATACGTTTGCCCTCTGCATGACTTCTGTTAATCTAAACATAAAAATTTAGCATGAAATTTTTTATTTGGGTCTAAAGAATTGTAATTCAGGGTACACAGAAACTCAGGCAGACAATCTAAAACTTGCCCCAAGGAGGACAAAGTCATATTTTTATAGGAAAAAAAAGAGAAAGATGAGGTAAGTAGTTAGAGGAAAGAATTGATTAATGCTAAGAGATTAAATTACTTTAAGTGTACATAATTTGTTACTGAATCTCTAGAACGGATGAAGGGGAATATTTCTCTCCTCTAGCTAAAAGCTGACAATCATTTGTTTTCAAACAGTTGTTTGCATATAGTGTCTTTAAAAAATTGCTAGCTTTTGGTTCAAAGTTCTTTGGCCCAATTCAAAGAGATGAAGCAATTTCTCTGCACTGGTTCTCTGGCTTCATTTTAGAATGGCTTTACAAATGTCAACTTCTCATGCTTGTAAAGTTGGAGCTCCTCAAGATTAGCTCTCTTAAGTAATTTTTCCCCATTCCTAGGGTATAACATATGGTATGTTTACATTGATACCTCACTTTTGAACTACTGACTCATGTAATACTAATTCACTAGACATGGTTGTTATACTCAGCTGCTCAGGTGAGAAACTTCAGAATCATTCCTGACACACTGCTCTCCCACTACATCCCCATCAAACCATCCAACTTTGTCAGTGTTACCTCTAGAATGTTTCTTAATCTGTACATTTTTTCTCATTCACTCTAGTCCAAGCCACAATTTTCTTGCCTGGGCCTGTGGAATAGCTTACTTGCTTCTTGCTGCACCCTCTAGCTCATTCCCACATAGGAGCAAAAGTCATCTTAAAAACAGGTAAATTCCACCATGTCACTTTCCACTTAAAAATCTTCACTGACTCCCATTGTACAGTGATACTCAGCTTACTGATGGGATCATGCTGAGAAATGTTCCATTAGGTTATATTAGTGCTGTGCAAGTGTTATTGAGTATAATAACACAAATCTAGATGATACAGCCTACTATATACCTAGCTTATATAGTGTAGCCTGTTGTTACCACTTCATATATGCAGTTCACTGCTCTCTAGAACATAGTTAAGAAACTGTACTTAAAGCAAAAATTATGTTCTTGTTTCTATTATTAAAGACTTACTTTAAAAGAAAAAGATTTACTTATTAATGCTTACAGAACTGGGGTTCATACAGGCCAGAGGTGCAGGGGCAGTGAGAGGATTCACCAGAGACAGAGTGGGGAGCACAACAGGCAGATTGACAAAGTACACTGCTGAGAGAAGCAGTGGGAGAATCAGTAGAGGTCTGCCACACCATGTGGGTCAGCTCCCTGGTTGGGGATTGAACTTACGCTACAGTGGCTTTGGGAGCTTCATAATGCGGTGCTTTAATCCCTTGCACTACCAGAGAGAGCCCAAAATTATATTCTTTTAACAGTATCTGGTAAGACCAGCCTGATCTGGTCCCCTTACCTCTTTCCCTCTTTTGTTTACAACATTCTAGCCAAACTGGTCTTCTTTTTAGTTCCATTTAAAGAATTGAAGGGTTTTAGGGCCTTTGTATATGTTGTCTCTTCCTTGGAAAACTCCATTCCCTATTTCTGAGTAACTACTACTATTATTTTTTCAGTTTAACTTTACCTCACATGTAAGCTATGTCCAAACGGTTATTATATCTTATATTTGCTCTGTTCTTTTTCTTCATAGAATTTAAGGTCATTTGAATTCTAAATTCACTGGTATGTTTATTTAGTATCTGTCTCATTATTAGGCTAAATGGTTCAGATAGTAGGGATCATAATAATCTGTGTTCTAATGTGCCTGGAATATAGAAAGTACTCAAAAATACTTCCTTGAATGGAAGAAAAGAATAGACATTGTCAAATATCTGAGACTAAGTTAATGGCAGAGATTCAAAATGAGGTGTCCTCTTTCAAATCTTCAAAGTACTTCAATTTTTATTCCTCCATACTTCCTATAAAAAATGCTTTATTTCTAAGTACTGTTCACACTTTAACAAATGCTCTACTGTTTAATGAATAATGTTCACAAGAATATTGTTAATTTCTAGCCTAAGTATTAGCACTTCTTATTATCTAATAAAGATTTTAAGTAATAGAACTTCTGTATTGTTTAACAAAGACTTTCGTATTTGTAAATAGTATTTGAGAGGAAATACGCATTGTGGACTTAAAAACAACTTTTACTAAAGAAATTTTAAAAGTGGTGTGTCAGGACAATTATATCTTAATTTTAACTTAAGCAAAATAAACCAATTTATAGACAAATTGTGATTAATGATAAACCTCAAATATTAAATATTAACTTCAGGAACCACCAAATCCAAATGATTTAGTATTCTAGCTGTGTGAATTGAAGCAGTTTGCTGAGCCCATGCCTTCTTTGGCCATAGGTTCACTCTCTGAATTTCTTTACAACTTACACATTTATAATTCTCTACACAGTAACAATTAACTCAAAAAAATTAATGAACATCTACTTTGTGATAATCATTGTAGGTGCTGGGAATTCAGTAGAGAAGACCAACATTAAACAAGTAAATAGACAAGATAATCTCAAATGCAGAAAGTTTTTTAAGCTGGCCAGGAAATAGGGGAGGAGAGGTTTTTTTCAGTCTGTCCGAAAAGGTTTCTCAGAGCTATCTTTTGAGATGAGGCATGAAGGACAAGAAGCCAGCCAAGAGAAGATCTGGGTAAAGGCATATAGTGTTATTCATTTGTAGACCATGGAATCAATAAAGTGCCCTGGGGCCACAGTCAAAATAAAAATGAGAGTACATCACATAAAATAAAAATGTTGTTATATATGTATATTTATAACATGTGTAGGTGTGTATAATTATGTATGTATGCCATGTACAAGTCATAAAGTATATTTTTATTATAGTGAGGTCAAAAAAGAGCTTGCAAGTCACTGAGGTAGAGGGACCAGCCATTTGAAGGCCTTACAGGTAGTAAAGAGTGAGTGTAGAGAGAAAGGAAGCCAGTATAGCTGAAATGAACATGCAGAAGTAGTGAAGTGAGGTAGAAAATGTACTTTCTATATATACTCTCCAGCCAGCATGTGAAATCTAGACTGCTCTCTCTATTGTCATGATTCATCATTAAGAAACAACATGGGAGAATAATCTCCCTGCTTTCATGTCACTCTGTAAACTGTCACCAGGTGAACTAAGCAGCTAAACCACTGTGACCATGAAATTAATCTGTAAACTAAGAATGCCTTGATTTTACAGTCCATCCTCTTAGTGAGGATGCGTTACTTGAATAATTAAAAAATGAAAAATAAAACCGAGTTTATAAATCTGAAAGCCCTCCTTTCAGATCTTCCGTACAATGAAAATCTGTTAGATTAGTTAACAGTACTTAATTTTGTAAATCGCTTCGTTATAAATACAAAAAGAAATAGCATCAAGAGATAAATGCACAGAAGGAAAAACAGAGATACTGGAACATAGACCTGGCTCTTCTATTAGCTACCTAAGTATCTTCACAACTGATTTAACATCTTTTGCCCTCAGATTCCTTATTTGTGAACAAGGTGGAGCAGGTGTTCAGTAAAGTCCCTTCATAATGTAAAGTTCTATGCTTCTTAAGTAATTTTAGAATCATTTACTATTTTAAACGTTGCAAAAATTAACCTCGTGTTTAATCAGATTTTTTAAGAGGAAGTTACAAGACATAAATAAAGAGGATGTCCTTGATTTTACAGTCCATGAGCACTAGAAGAAAAAGTCATTATCTCTGAAAGTGGACTTAGGTTGATCTGCACTTTGGATCCACAAGGCCTTTCCGCATCACGACAGCCCTATCTTGATACACAACCTTTCTGAATAGAAAGTTTAAGCTTCTAATCGTGCACTAAAGCTGGACAAAGATTCTGCAGGCAAGGGAAAGTGAGTTGGTAACACAACTCACCTACAAGTTCTCCAATCATGAAAAGCAAGTAAAGAACGGCAGCAATGGTCAATCTGGTTTTCACCTTTCTCTGCTTCAGCAACTCTCTCTGTTTGCTGCAGTTGTCACAGGGGTCCACCTTCAAACTCAGCTGGCTGTTGGCCATAGGTAAGTCCTGGTCCAGTAAGGAATCGTCGTCGGCCTGGCGGGCCGGGTGCGCCCCGTTAATAGGCCTTTCCGGGGTTTCGGAACCATCGTCGGCCACCACAACTCGAAGTTTGTTAAACCGAGAAAGCCCCTCGTCCCCCACCTCGTCGGAGAAGTCAAAGGCGCTGGTGTCATTCAGAAAGAGCGGCGCATCATCCTTCCGCAGCAGAGACTTGAGGCGCTTCCACGCGCCGGCGCCGGCCCCGGCCATGGCAGAGGCTGGGCGGCCGCGGCGCGGAACGGCTCGGTGCAGGCGGACCGCCGGCGGCTCCTACTTCACCGGAGCGCCCGTTCCCGAAGGCAACGCCGCGCGTCCCTCCCCATCCTGTGGCGACCACACTCGTTATAAATCAAAGGCGCCCCGACACTGCCCGCAAGTTCCGCAGCCCGGGGCTGCGGGGTCGCAGGGCCGGCGGGGAGGCGCCGGGGCTCCGCGAGGGGGCGGCG